ATAAAACATCTGGTGAAAAGCTTTTGTTAAAAGACAAACATATATATGATGCTGTTTTGGCTCAAAAATCAAGAGATGAAGATTTTTTAGTTGAAGTAGTTGTCTTGTGTGTGTTATTTTTGTATAAATTAAGTAGTGGACCCTTGATTATTTGTACAAGGCAAATCACTTAGGCATAAGGAGAAAGTCTTGCATCTCTCTGCCTTTTTCTTGAGAAACATACATAGAAGCCCAGAGCTCTGTTATTTTCCTGCCTTTTACACTCTGGTTATCTTTACTGATAGCATGCATCTACATCAGAGAACCATACAAGAACTGTCTTGACTTCATCCTCTACACCTTATGCAGCAACATGTCTCCATGACTCAACTAAAGTCAATAAGGCTGTGTCTACATTGGCAAGATTTTGCGCAAAAGCCACCTGTCTACACTGGTCGCAAGTATTTGCGCAAGAACACTGACGTTCTAATGTACGAAATCAGTGCTTCTTACACAAATACTATAACACTCCTGCTCAGGGATAAGCCCTCTTGCGCAAGTATTCTTGCGCAAGAGGCCAGTGTAGACAGGCAACGTTAATTTCTTGCGCAAGAAAGCCCGATGGCTAAAATGGCCATCGAAGCTTTCTTTCCCAAGAGAGCGTCTACACTGGCATGGATGCTTTTGTGCAAAAGCACATCTTTTGCACAAAAGCACATGCCAGTGTAGACGCTCTCTTGCGCAAATACAGTGAATGCTTTTGCGCAAAAACTCTTCCGTTAAAAGCATTTGCGCAAAATCATGCCAGTGTAGATGTAGCCTAAGGGTGCGTCTAGACTGGCAAGATTTTGTGCAAAAGCATTCACTTTTGCACAAAAACTTGCCAGCTGTCTACACTGGCCGCTTGAATTTGCGCAAGAGCACTGACGTTCTAATGTAAGAATTCAGTGCTTCTTGCACAAATACTTTGATGCAGGGATAAGCCCTCTTGCGTAAGAATACTTTCACAAGAGGGCAAGTATAGATAGGCATCTTAATTTTTTACGCAAGAAAGCCCGATGGCTAAAATGGCCATCGGAGCTTTCTTGCGCAAAAGCGCATCTATACTGGGCACGGATGCATTTGCGCAAAAGCACTTTTTGCGCAAAAGCACCAATGCCAATCTAGACGCTCTTTTGTGGAAATACTTTTAATGGAAAAACTTTTCCGTTAAAAGTATTTCCGCAAAACCATGCCAGTCTAGACGCAGCCTAAGAGTTTTGCCTTGGTGAAGTGAGCGGGATTGGACCCATTCTGCCATTTTGCTGAGTCCTTTTTCAAAACTTGTTCCAGTGTCCAGTCATTTTCAAGGGATGTAAGAAGGTCCAACAAAAGAAGTGTTATTCAGAGACAGAGACTGCAGACAAGGAAATCACATGAATTCAGTTTTTCAGAAATGGAAAAGCTTTTCAAGAAAAGGATGCATTATACCATTAGGCAATTCTAACTCTGAGTCCCATGTCTACTTCCTTTTGCACCTGTAAATACTACTGCATGAAAAATTCTAAAATAATTTTCTATCCCCACATTTGTCCAAAATACCAGTATCAATCTAATTAATCAGACACACATTCCATTTACACTATAAACTTTAAGAGCCTAGAAATCCATTCTACACAAGGTAGGTAGGTATCTTCCAACTAAGCAGGGTTAAACAGTGGAAAAGGATCATTCATATAATTCAAGCAATGTTTTCTCCATGCCATTACATTTGCACACCTGTCAGTTGCATTGTTAGGAGAGACGAGGTAAAGGCGACCAAGCCGGATCCATGTTAATTACAGGGCCTGATTTCCAGACTGACTTCCTACTGTGTGCTCAAAACCTTTTGCCTGCAAAACTATCTGAGGGATTCTCAAACAATTGCTTTTGCAGTTGAAACATTCTAGCACCTCCACAGATGAAAGACTTTTCATGTACAAATCTCACTTATCCATCTTCCTGGACAGATTCTTAGCTGTTTCTGGAGTTGTACTGCTAATAAGGACATTATTATAAGACTAGTTCTATGATATTTGTGGATCTGACTAAATATGTACCCATATTTTTCTTTTTTTGGTTACACCATCTCATGGCATTTTTGTGATAAGGATGCTAAAATACTCTTCTTTATAAATTCTCAACAGAGAAAAATATTCATGCAAAAATACAATAATATGGATAGAGGAAATCATAAGACAATATTTCAAATAGCATTATATTATGGAAAGAGAAATCACTTGTCTGGAAAGAACTGAAAAAACTATAATTAATTTGCACTATAATTTTAATATTTCTGCACCTGGAACCTGCATTTAAATGTGGGGTTAAAGCTTTGATTGACATGGGTTCTTGTTTCTTGTCAGACTCAAATGGCCCGTGTATTAGTAGCGATTTAAGAAATGCACAGAACTGTGTACAGTGTTCTACATATGGGATTGCTCTTTCTTATTTTGAATTCTTTATCAATCATATTAGCTGCCTCCTTCTGAAACTGCTGGAAAAAACTATGATTGATAATTATGAAGAGCTGGTAATGCTATATAAGACAATGCAAATAGTTTCTGAGAAGAAGTAAGCTATATAGGTTCTTAAAAGAAACTTAAGAAAAAAGTTGAGAATTGTCTTCTACAGTCTCTATTTTGTTTGTCTCTATCCCTAAAATTCTGAGCAACTCCAAGAATTCAGTTATTTTCTGTCATCCCCTTGCTTTGTTTTTCTTTCTAGGGCTGCTTTGGTGCTGGAAGGAATTATGGAAAATAAGAGCTCTTTCTGAAATAGACAGATGTGGTGGTGGGGAGTAGTTCCTATTGATTTAATTTTCAGAGGAGGCAAGCACCCACAATGCTCACTGCAGTGAATTAGGCAAACTGGTGCTCAGCTTCTTTGAAAATCAACAAGTATGAAGGAATATGAAGGGTATAGAGAAGCAGTTTTACTCATGGAACCAAAAGGCTGCCATTGTGGAGGAAGAAGAAGATTTGAGGATGGGGTGTGTGTAGAAAAAAAAAAGATGGAGGAGTCAAAGATGGGCCCCATGTTAAAAGTCTGGATGACCAGAAGGATGGTATTATGAAAAACTGTAAGAAACCTGCTGGGGCTTGGGAGGGAAGGGGAGAGCATGTGTTGTCATATAATGTCTTGTGTCTTTTACAATGATATCAACTGTTTACTGTTTTATGTATCTAGGATTAGAAATGTAAAATAAATTTGTGGTGGGATTATCATGTAAGGTCCATTTCAGTTCAGTGTTGTTGAATGTTTGGATTCTTATCAGGCAAGCTACACCCCAAAATTACTCTTATTGCAGGTATCTGAGACCATATAAATCAATTAAATCACTCTTTCAACCTTGGACTCAATTATGGTGTAACTGGACTTTGAAAATGGCAATAATTAGGTAATTAAAATGTGCTTCAATTCCATTATAATATCCATAAAATTCCACCATCTAAAAACTGTGTTTTAACATATTTTACTAAATATAATACACGTGATACATGTGAATTTTATACCTTACCAAGTTATGCAATTAAATAGTGTTTGACTATTTCTTACAATTGAAGATTACAAAAATGTTCCTAAATACAGCGTGATATATCGAACAACTTTTTATGCTCAACAGTTGACACAGTCAAACTTATATTCATTTAATTTAGTTTTAATTAGTTAAATAGTAGTTTGAAAATGTGGGCTTTTCATTAACTGGCATTGCTCATATTTTTGCTAGGTGCTTTTCCATAGTTCTTTCCAAGTATGTATGTACAATGTACAGATGCTCATGAAGTATACTATTATTCTCTTGGATGTCATACCAAAAATATTACACACAGAAGTGTCAAATATATGTTCTGTAGATGTGGCTCTACAGGTGCAACTACAGACTGAGATGAAAATCAAAGTAATGAGTAAGTATCAATCTTGCAAAGAAGTCCACCAGCCTGGATCTCCATGAACCTGAGTCAAACAGCATTTTTCCTCTTCCAGCAAAAAGCACAGCAAAAGCACACAAGTAGGGGGCAGATGGTGCCATACAACAACTACTGAGAGAGAGAAGGGCAAAGCTGGGGAGCAAAGACACAAAGGGGCTTGGCTCAGAGCTGAAGGACAGAGATTGGAAGCATTCAGCAGTCACAGGGGTTTAAGTTGTGATGTCATCACTCAGTATCTATGGGATTTAAGGAATCCAGGACAGAACAATTTAACTGAAAGGATTTTACAGCTGAAACAAAGATCCAGAAGTACCATTTCAAAAGGGTCTATTCCTAAGGGAAGTTGTAGCCCTGTGGCTTAGAAGCATGTCTCTCTCACCAACAGAAATTGGGCCAATAATAGATATTGCCTCACCCATCAAGTTTCTCTATTTCCAAGGGATTTTAATAATTTATTGTTTGAGTCTGAATTATAAAACTGGGAACAGGTGATATTAATTTGAATGTGTAATAATACTTGCTTTGCACAGTTTATGCCAGTATATATATAGCTGGGGAAAAGATTCCAGCTGGTTATAGGCTAGAAATTACCATATTAATGTTTTATTTGTGTGGCAATCTAGTTGTGTTAATTAATGTTTTGATGTAGTTACCAGCATTTAGTGGTCTCTGAATGTGCATGCTCTGCTGACTTATGAGAATTAGAATTCTCTAGGTGCAAATGGTACAGCATGGGCCCCATCAGGAAATCTTTACTCAGGTCAGCCTCCCGTTTATTCTGATGGGAACCTGTCCAGCATATGGACAATGGGACTGAAATTTAAGACAGCAGAGTGGAGTTCCTCCTGGCGAGAAATAGTGAGACAGCAGTATCATTGAGAGATGCCTTGGGGGAAAATAGTTACAGAGAGAGATTAAAACCATGACAGGTGTTTCCAAAAAGTGTTATATTTTGTTGACTGTAGCTACTTTTCTGCAGCTTTCCTTCATATCAGCTTTATCGTACTTTTCTGTCTCACAATGATTAAGTTACCTCTATTCACAGAATGTTCCTTTAGGTAACTTATTTACCTCTTAAGGGAGCTGTTCATTGCTGGGGCGGTAGAACAATGAGTGATCCTCTTTCCGATATCACAGTCTTCTGAGTCTGCTCCACTCTCTTTCTTGAATTAAAGCAAATTCTTCCATCTTTTCCTTTGATCTTGTCTGCCTGAAGAAAAAAGAAAAACAATGACATGTGGGGACATAAAAAAATGCAATGTTTAACCTTAAATCTGGATGTCATTTGCTAGTTTTTCTTCATTTACTTCTCACTTTATCTCTTCCTTTCTGACATTGTATAGCCCTCTCTCTTTTTCTCTTTTGCTTCCTCTCATCCTTTTTAATTTTTCTCTCCTTCTGCTCTGTTAGCAAAAGCTGATTTTTTTTTAATGGTGGCTGCCACACATGTGCCTTTGACTGCTGTACTATAGTTGGGCTGCAGGACTGAAAGAGTTAAACCTAACAGCGCTATGTAACTTAGATAAAATGTGTGCATTTTAATGTCTAATATAAAAAAGTCTAGAAGGTATGATTAGCAATAAAATTGCTCAAAATGTTTAAATTGAAGGAAAACAATTGAAAATGGATTTAGAAATATAATGTTTAGCTCAGCAAGCTATAATGTTCTGTTATTTTAATCAGCATTGTAAAGTAATTTGAACTATGCAGGAGGAAACTTGTATGCATTAATATATAATTTTTTCTCCAAGCATTCATCAAAAGTTATTTCATGTTAATGTTTTAGTAGCATGCTATAGTCCTAGGTGCTAACATTCACTTTACTGGGGGGCGGGGGAGGAGTCTCAATTTTGATACTTTGTCTATTTCCTAAGCCTTCTACTTAGAAAAGAAATAAAATGTATCTCACATATTGCTCCATGACCTTCACCTTGGAAATGTTAATGTTCCCATCAAATGGAAAGTTCAAAGTGCTGCCCATAAGATATCACTCACCTCTTGGTCACTAGTTTGAATCCTGCCACCTACAGATATTTGTAACCAACTCTTATTACTATCTGGTGGCTGCTGTCTAGTCTGTGCAAAATAGGTGTTTCTGGTGTTCAGGAAACAAATCAACAACCCATTCTTAGTATTAACTACCCCTGCTAAGAGGGAGCAAATTGAGTGTCTATAGAGACTCGTGATCCTAGCGGTGCTTCCAGGTTAGGGTTGCTGGACCATTCTGGAGATTGTCATGGTACCACCTGTGGTTTGAGTGCCTGTTCTATGACTAAATAGAGGAGTTCAGTTTCCATAGCATTGCTTGCCACCTTTCCCAGCCATGAAATTAACAGAAACCATTTTATAGCAGGAAACAGGATTATAAAAGTCCGGGTCAAAATAGTTCAATTTAATAAAAGTAAGGGAATTTGACTATTGATGTTATGCATATATGGACTGTGCTGACACCCAAAGGCCTGCTGACTCCATTGTGTTAGATGCTGTATAGATGCACAAGAAAACACGGCCCTGTCTTAAACAACTAACCCTTCAGTGCGGGCATCCAATTCTTACTATGGGTAACTGAAACTAGGGATGGACCAACATAAAAGGTTCAGCTAAGCACTTCACAGTTCAGATGTTTGTCTGGAGCCTATTCGGATTAGTCCATCTATTCTCTGGCCTCTCTCCCTTTTTGGGAATACTTCCTCTCTTTCTTTATCCCTGTTGTGGGGTGATTCCACCTTCCCCACAGGACTTCTTTGTGTGTGGGGGGTGTAGTAACTTTTCTTCTCCCTGAATCACCTCCACCCCTTCCATCTCTTTTGGGGTGGTTTTGTAGCCTTGGCACCATTGGTTAAGTTCTTCTGGATTAGATTACATGATCCTTGCCCTTCTTGCATGGAGGAATGCCTAATATCTCCAACTGCCTGCTATCTTCTTGCCACAATGTGGGAGAAAAGAGAGCTTTGAATTGCCATATCTGTGAAGCCATCCTCCCTGGTCCTCTGAGGGTATGTCTACATTTCAATAAAACACCCGTGCTTGTTCCAGATCAGCTAGCTTCCAGGGCTCAATCCACAGGGTTATAAAATTGTAGTGCAGATGTTGGTACACAGGCCACAAGTATCCCAGAGCCCAGTCTCCAATGGAAGCCTAGATGTCTACATTGCAATTTTGTAGCCACACAGCACAACCCACACAAACCTGAGTCAGCCGACATGGTATGTTTTATTGCAGTGTAGACTTACCTTTAATGGAAGGCTCTGTACCTGCAGGACTCCTCTTATGAAGGAACAAAGAAGGTGGTGATGGTGCTATAGCCCTTCCATACTAGGAACATTGCTGCCCCTTCAAACTTTCTGCCTCTGGCATTTCCCCAGCGCAGACTCTGCAAAGTTTAGCTGAATGGGCCCCATGCTGATCACATTTGAGAGCTACTTAAAGCACTGTGACATTTGATACCTCACACCTGAGAAAGCTGCAATGTGCTCTGAAATATAGGGCACTGCACTTGCAATGAGGTTTCTTATTCTGGCTTTGCCACTAATCTGCTATGTTACAAGGAGCAAGCTGAATCCCCTCTCTGTGTCCCTTGTTACCTGCCAGTCATTTGTCTGGTCGATTAAGATTCTAGAAGCAGTTCAGAATGTGGATTTCCTTTATGTGTTTGTACAGCACCAAGCACAGAGGGGCCCTGATCTCACTTAGGGCCTCTGTAAAACAATAAGTAATAACGAACAGCAGCAGCTTTAATGAGTAATAGCCTGGAGGCTGCAAGAGACAGTGAGAATTTCCTTTCTCCTCTCCACCAGCTCTCTCCTGATTCTGCAAAAAAGTCAGATTCAATTCAGTTGGAGGAAATGTTCTCAGATGTTTGTGGGCGGGAAGGGGGGAGATGTCTCCTTGTTAGCAGTGCAGTTCTGTTGCTCAGCACACACGGCACTTGAAAATGACTGCACTACCAAGACGCACGGGGGTGAAGAAGACATGATACAAAGACACATGTTGTACTAAATAAAATCCCTACCAGTTTAAAAGAAGGTTCTTTAGTATTTAGAATCTATGTATCCAAGAAGATTTGAACTTTAAAATACGTACTAAATCTTTGAAATGTGCTGAATTTACTTTCGGTGAGACTTCAGTGCCAGTGCTGAATTAAGGGGAGGCGGGTGAACTTAAATTAACCCAAAAGAGGAGGGTGAATGCAGCTTGCAGGAAGCAGATGCTGCAACACCAAATAAGCATATTGCACAATAAATAGCAGTCATGGCTTTAATTAGGAATTCAATTGAAGTTGGAAACCACTTGCCTACAGTAAAATTGTCCTATTTAACATTTCTATCAACATTTTTTATCATTGGCATTGTTGCTTTTAATTTAACTTTCAATTTTAACTTTCAACATTACTGATAAAATCTAAGTCTTTACCCTATTTGTAGTTCCTTCTCATGACTCTGTCTCTACCGTACATTTAAGTCCCGGACACTGAATGAATCAGAGAAAGATGCAGATGAAAATATATAGTCCACCCAATAAACTCTCTCCACACTCCTGATACTACAAAACAATAGGAGTGTGTGTATGTGTGTTTGTTTGAGTTTAGTGCTTGAACGAAACGCCTAATGTTCTTTTGAATTAATGAGGTTATTCGTAGTGCAAGAAGAAATGAAGAACTTGACTCCCCATCACTGCAAAGGTGGAGCAAAATGCTACCATTGAAACATGGTAGCATTTCATACACACTTTATATTGTGATAAGTGACATCACACAAAGTTTAGGGCATCAGTGAATTGAATCTGAAGTCTATACATTACTACCTTTATCTTCATAATACACAGTCAAGCACATACTCACACATATCAACAATCAACTTGTGTTGACTAGCCCTAAGTTGTTATTTCATATCCATCTAACCTCTTCTATTCTGCCTATAGGCCTTTAAAGAAAAGACTGTTGTGGTGGGTCAGAGAACCCGTAAAGGGCAGCAGCCTACAGGTGTATTGTTCAGATTAGGGATGGATTAAGGTTCTATGGTGAATAACAAACAATAGCTATTTTTAGGTCTTAAGCAATATGTATAATGCTCAGACAAGAAAATCTTGCTTGATGCAAGTTTGCAGGTGATATCAAACTGGAAGGGGTTGCAAGTGCCTTGGAGGATAGGGTCAAAATTCAAAATGATCTGGACAAACTGGAGAAATGGTCTGAGGTAAACAGGATGAAGTTTAATGAGGACAGATGCAAAGTACTCCACTTAGGAAGGAACAATCTGTTCCACACATATACAGAATGGGAAGTGATTGTCTAGGAAGGAATACTGCAGAAACAGATCTAGGATTCATAGTGGATGATAAGTAAAACGTGAGTCGATAGCATGGCTATATTTACACTGTAGCATTTTATCGGCAGAGGAAATGCAAATGAAGCGCTCATTAACATTTCTCGTACTCTCATTTGCATAGTCTCTTCCAGTCCGTTTTGTGGAAGAGATTTTTGTGAAAAAAAAAAACCCTTTTGCGCAAGAACCCGTATACGTCCTTTTTTGAATCACTGTTGCAATGACGAGAAGTCATTCTTCTTCTCCACTATACGCTGATTAGGCCCCAATTGAAGTATTGTTTCTAGTTCTAGGCACTGCATTGCAGAAAAGTTGTGGAGAAATTGGAGAAAGTCCAGAGAAGAGCAATACAAATGATTAAAGGTTTAGAAAACATGACCTATAAGGGAAGACTGAAAAAACTGTGCTTGTTAGTTGGAAAAGAGAAGACTGAGAGAGGACATGATAGTCATTTTCAAGTATCTAAAAGGGTGTTACAGGGAGGAGGGAGAAAAATTTTTCTTCTTGGCTTCTGATGATTGGGCAAGAAATAATGGGATTAAATTGCAGCAAGGGAGGTTTAGGTTGGACATTAGGAAAAACTTCCGAACTGTCAGGGTGGTTAAACCCTGGAATAAATTGCCTAGAGAGGTTGTGGAATCTCCATCACTGACAGTATTTAAGAGAAGGTTGGATAGACATCTATCAGGGATGATCTAGGCAGTGTTTGGTCCTGTAGTGAGGGCAGGGGACTGGACTCAATGACCTCTCAAGGTCCTAGAATTCAATAGTGGTAGAAATGTAGCCGTGTTAGTCTGGTGCAGCTGAAACAAAACCCAGACCCACTTCCTCAGGATCATGCTTTTATTAATGTTTGAGTCTGTATGTGTGT